TATATATGTTGTGAGACATACTTGAATCATATAATCTATGCACATATGTATTTCGGTTTGGTACCACCGAATAGTTTTGACTGGACAGAAGGGGAACGCCCCTAATCTGGTGAGATATATATTCTTTTACTAATGACTAAATAATCATGTAGTGGAATGACTGTAGGAAGTCATTAGATATAATATGGTAGATTATTTCTTTAAAAGAAATAATACTAATAAGAGAATACTTTAACTCAATGTACATAATTAAAAAAAATATATGAAACGTAAATGAAAATAATTAGATGTGTTGAATATTGTCGTGTTGTTGGTTCTATAGTTGGACCTCGTATTATGATCATTATGTACCTTGGGTACATCATTGTATTGCAGTTGTGAAATTAAAATTTTAAATTTGTAGGTTTAAACTTTTTGTGTATATATGACATTTGAAAAACCAAATTACAATTATATTTCTACTTATAATTGAGCATAAATAAGCCTTAGATGATCGAGTACATCGTAGTTGACAAACAAATATATATATATTATATGATTATATGATTAGGAAGAAACATTGGGTAGTGGTGGTTAAGATTAATTATTGATTTGTAATAAAATGTAAGAGAAAAGTGATGACGTAGTGGACTACAAGAAAATCGATCATATTACAGTTAGTTCTATCTCATAATCAAATTTCGTGATTATCTTGTACATTGGGTACCTTATTTTTGTGAAGCTAGTAAATCTTAAATTCATAGGTTGAAATATTTGTACAATTGTACATACAACACATGAATGATCCAAATAAACATAGTTAATTTTACTTCTTGTAATTGAGCGCATGTAAAATTTGATTGCTCAGTTCAAAAAAAATATTAATTTTTTTTAAAGTACAATTAGCAACATAAACACAGTTAATTTTACTTCTTGTAATTGAGCGCATGTAAGATTAGATTGCTAAGTTCAAAAAAATGTTAAAAAATTGTTAAGTATAAATAGTAACCATCTTGCACATGTTACTCCCAATTTTAAAAAAAAAAATTACCATAAAACAATTGTGAATAAAATTAGAATATTACAGAGTAAAATATAGTATTTCCACAATATGTTATTATAATAATCGACATGTATGATGAAACAAAATTATCGAGAACGTAACGTAGATTGTAACTTTAACTCTTTAAGGCTATGTCAAACTTTAACATTAACAAAAAGAAAGAGAGGTGAAATGATAGGAAGTTATTGGAATCATATGCTAAATGTGGGTTGCAATTAATTTAAGATTTGGTGGCAAATAAAGTCACATTTTGATAGTGACAAAAATAGGAAAAACAAATGCGAGTTACATTATTAGGTACCAATAAACACGTCCATTTGGCGTTCAGTAGGAACAATGGACAAACTTTTGTAATACTACTAAAATGGTGGATTTTAAAAAAACACATATCTATAAAGAAGTAGGAATTAATTACTTTCTATTATAGAAGAATATAGACTGAACAAGATAATTCCATTGATCACAGAGATGTGAATATATAGCAAACAAAAGTTGTTAACAGATCCTAAAGTCAAGGCAGGGAATTGGGGATATATACAGCCTAACAACTTGTACAAGATAATACCAAGAATATAAGAATAGAATATTAATTATGAATTATCTGTTATACGCCCCCGCAAGATTGACGATCCATCAAAGACGCCAATCTTGAAACGAAACTTGGTAAACAAAGGGGCACCCAAAGCTTTTGTGAGAAGATCAGCAGGTTGCTTAGTGGAGGGTACGTGCCGAACATGCATCAAACCAGCCGCCACGAGATCACGAACAAAGTAATAGTCCAATGCAAGATGCTTCATCCGGGAGTGAAACACCGGATTCTTACAGACATATGTAGCACCCAAGTTATCATAGTAAAGCACCGGCACACCTCGCAAAGGAACACCTAGCTCTGACAGTAGGTGTTGTAGCCATAAAGTCTCAGCCGTGCCATGCGCAAGGGCCTGATACTCGGCTTCCGTAGACGAGCGAGAGACCGTCTTTTGTCGGGTGGATTTCCAAGATACAGGATTAGACCAAGGATAAACAACATAAGCAGTGGTAGACTTCCCGCCATCATGAGTTCCTCCCCAATCGGAATCAGAGAAGACAGTGAGACGCATGGGAATGTTGGCCCGAAGAAACAACCCATGAGCAAGAGTGCCACGTAAATAACGGAGAATACGCTTAGCCGCTTGCCAATCTGTTATAGTTGGAGCATGCATGTACTGAGACAGCTTATTCACAGCAAAGGATAGATCCGGACGGGTTATAGCAAGGTAGTGAAGAGAACCAATAAGCTTCTGAAACAGAGTCGAGTCAGCCCGGGGCGCACCATCGTGAAGGTACAACTTGACAGTGGGACTGAGAGGAGTGACAGCAGCATTAGCAGAGGCCATGTTATGCTCCAGGAGTAGGTTATGAACATACTAACGCTGAGCTAAGAACAAACCTTCAGATACGGGAAGAACCTCCACTCCTAAGAAATGATGTAAAGGGCCAAGATCCTTCAGAGAAAACCGTTGGGACAAACAGACCACAAAGCGATCCAAAAACCCAGAGTCGTTCCCGGTTAGAACAATGTCATCTACATAAACCAAGAAATAAACCATCACAGACCCCTTGGAGTAAATGAACAATGAAGCATCAGCTCTGGACTTTTTGAAACCAGAGGCAACCAAAAAGGACAGAAGTTCCAGGTACCATGCCCTAGGGGCCTGTTTAAGGCCATATAAAGCCTTGCGAAGACGACAAATATAGTCAGGATGAGTAGGATCCCGATAACCGGACGACTGCTCCATATAAACCTCTTCATGCAAAGTGCCATTGAGGAAAGCATTGTTAACATCGAGTTGGCGTAATGGCCAACTCCGAGATAAAGCAATGGTAAGAACAACCCGAATAGTAACCGGTTTGGTCACCGGACTAAAGGTGTCAAAGTAATCCTTACCGGGCTGCTGAAGAAACCCCTTAGCCGGCCACCAACCGTGCTTTGTACCTGTCCACACTACCATCAGGATTACGCTTGAGGCGAAAAACCCATTTACATTGAATTGGACGGTTAGAGCCTCGAGGGACAAGCTCCCATGTCTGATTATGTATAAGGGCCAAATATTCGGCATCCATAGCCTCTCTCCACTTGGGATCAGTCCGTTCGTGCATGTAAGTAAGAGGTTCTACAACAGCAACATGATTAATAAATTTGTCATTAAAGTAACGGGAAGAAGGTGCTATAGATGGGGAAGACGAGGAAGAAATGGGACTGCCGGCTGAAGCCTCAGGGACGTGGGAGCTTGGGGCAGCAGACAAAGGAAATCTCCTGCCAGTATGGGCAGTGGAGACTGGCAGAAAAGGAAGAGACGAAGACTAGGAGGTGGAGGGGGACGCCGTGGGAGGGAAATGAGGCATAACATATGGAAATACAGTGGGGACAATTTTTACATGACGAGAGAGATAAAGTCTCCCAGATTGGAGGTCATAACACTTGTAAGTAGATTGGGAAGTAGAGTATCCAAGAAACACACACGGGGTAGACTGCGGGGCAAGTTTAGTAGTATGATGGGGACGTAGCCATGGATAACACAGACATCCAAAGGGTTTGAAGTTGACATAATTGGGAAACTGATGAAATAAGACCTCAAACGAAGATCGGTTACGAAGTAAGGGTGTGGGAAGGCGATTAATAAGCTACACTGCAGTTTGGAATGCATAGGACCAGAAAGAAAGTGGAAGACCCGAAGTATGAAGCAAAGACAAGCCTGTTTCAACAATGTGCCGATGACGACGTTCGGCGGTGCCGTTGTGTTCAGGAGTATATGGAGGTGTAGTGAAGTGGGAGATCCCATGTTCATTAAACATTGGAACTAATTTGAGAAACTCACCACCATTATCAGAGAAAATAGATTTAATAGAGCGGTGGAAGTAGTTTTCAACCAACTGTTTATATTGAGGAAAAATTCGAAACACATCAGACTTGTGCTTAAGTGGATACCACCATATGTATTTAGTATAATGATCAACAAATATGAGGATACCACCATATAATGTTCCTATGTGATATTTGTTGATCATTATAAAAATGATCAACAAATGTGATATTTGTTGATCATTTTTATAATGATCAACAAATATCACATAGTAATGATAACCCTCCAACGAGGCTTGAGAAGTACTCCACACATCGGTGTAAACCAGGTCAAGTGGAGCAGTACTAGTTAAGGTATTAAAAGAGAATGGCAACTTATGGCTTTTATTAATATGACAAGATGAACAATGAAATTCAGCACAGGACCCAAACTTAGGAAAGGCATTACAACCACGAAGAATGACACCTAAAGTTTTATTATTTGGATGACCAAGACGATGATGAAGATCAGCTAAGACAGCAACAGAGGTGGCATGAACAGAAGGCCTTTGGCGTGCCTGCCAGGAATCAGCAGCAATGGAATAAAGATTATTGTGGTTGACTCCCCGAACCAGTGGAATCCCCGTGCGCACATCCTTGACAACAAAATGAGAGGAAAAGAATTCGACAGAAACAGGATTAGTACGACACAATTGAGAAACAGAAACGAGATTCTTTTAGAGACTAGGAACACACAACACATTAGACAAGGTAAGTGGCTGAAAGGACGTGGGTAAAGAAGAACTACCAGTGTGAGAAATTGTCAAACATTTACCGTTACTAAGACGCACTTCATCTGGTCCGCCATACTCCATGAAGGTGTTCAATGAGGAAAGATCATTGGTCACATGATGAGAAGCACCGCTACCAACCAACCATTGTGGAGGAGCCTTGCTGGTGCCACCAGGAGAAATCGTCAAATTGGCAATGGCTGCTGACAAGGAATTTTCTCCAAAAAGAACAATTGTTGTCCTTCAAAAACCGTTAGAGCTTACGACAGAACCTAGTGTCATGGAACCATGCGAATTGAAACGACCATGTGAATTGAAACGACCACCACCACAATTGCCAACATAACCGTGAAAAGAGCCACCGCCACGGTGAGAAAAACCACCACGAGATTGGCGTTGAGTGTTGTTGGCAGTGGCTATCAACCCATCCGTCGTAGCCACCTGATCTCGGAGCTCGTGTTCACAGTCCTGCAAAATTGTCAATAGTTCATCCAAGGAAGCACAAACTCCTCAGCCACGTAGTGATTGATAGAGGGATGCATAATCATCCCCGAGTTGAGTCATGATGTGCACCACGAGATCATCATCGGAAACAGGGCTACCGGCCAAAGCAAGATCTGCAGCAATTTTGGTCATATCTGCAAAGAATGCATCAATCGAGCGTGTACCACGTGGGTTCTTTGCCAATTTGGCTTTGATAGAAATAATGAATCCCTTCGACATATTAGCCAGATTAGTGGTCAGACGGGACCATGCATCACCCGCTGCAGTAGCCAGTGCAATCAGCAGCTGAACCTCTGCCGAACAATTGCCAAGGATGGCGCTACGAAGAATAGCGTCCTGATGGTACCAAAGAGTGTAGGCAGGATTAATTTGTTTGTGCTCAGCATCCGAGAATTGAGAAGGAGCTAAGAGGGTTCCATCAATATACCCAAGTAGATCTAGACCTATCAGGGCATATTGGACTTGTTGTTGCCAAAGCAGAAAATTTTCCTTGGTTAGCTGAATGGGAAAGTGTTTAGAGGCAGCGACCTGAATCAATCCCGAAGAAGGCGAAGGTGCCATAGCCGAATAAAGAGAAAGCAATGGCAACGTGAAAAAAAAACTGGTAGGGAAGAAAAATCTTTCAAAAGAGATGAGGCTCTGATACCATATAGAAGAATATAGACTGAACAAGGTAATTCCATTGATCACAGAGATGTGAATATATAGCAAACAGAAGTTGTTAACAGATCCTAAAGTCAAGGCAGGGAGTTGGGGATATATACAGCCTAACAACTTGTACAAGATAATACCAAGAATATAAGAATAGAATATTAACTATAAATTATCGGTTATATCTATGAGAGTATTTTGCGTAAGAAACTTTATTTTAAAACTTCAATTACATTACAAGGACTTTATGTTAGACAAATGTGCAACTCTAGAGGAGGGGTGAATAGAGTTGTTTTCAAGAATGTGCGTTTTTCGCGTGTGTGAAATAATAAAATCGCAGGAATAAATAAAGAGAGTAAGGGAAAGAACACCGAGATTTATACTGGTTCACCACCTCGTGGCTAGTCCAGTCCTCCGAGAGACTCTCTCGAAAGTCCTACTAATCTTCAAGCTTCAACGGGTGCTTGAAAAACCGGTACAACTTGAGAACTTGAATCCCACAAGCCTCACTTTCTTACAACAACAAGACTTGAGTCACACAAGTCTTAAGAACAACACTCAAAAGAGATTGAGTTTACAACACAAGAATGAAAGCTCACACAATTGAGCAAAGTAGTGTTGAAGAAATGAAGCTCTATGGATGACAACTTCTTTAGCACTCAAAGAAAATATTTCTAACTCTGAAAAATAACATTTTGATGTGGAAGATGAAGCAAAAGATGAATATGGCTCAAAGAATTTATTGGAGTGCAAGAGATGTGTTTAGAAATGAAGGAGAATGAGGGATTAAATAGGATGAGGATAAAAGATCCGTTGGAGCCACTGAAAAGAACTAAGAATAGGCACCAGACAGAATTAGTCGATTAAATTAGGGACTTTAATCGATTAAAGTGTACAGAAGCGAAAAGGCTTGAATGCAAAGGTGGAATTAATCGATTAAAAAGGAGAGAAAAATCGATTAGCTTGCTCTGTTTAAACTAATCGATTAAATGGAGCAATTTAATCGATTAAGTCTATTTGCCTGAGAAATCCAGCGCTGAGAAATTGGATCTAATCGATTATTTTAGAAAATTAAATCGATTAAAGTGAAAATAATGCACAAACATGAAGGGCCCAAGCCAAGTGCGATTGGAAGCCTTTGGCTTCTAACTCGTTGTTTGGGACAACGGGAATATCAACCCTCCTCAAGTCCCTTATTCAATGAATTTGAGTTGGGGAGAGAAAAAGAGTCCAAAAATTATTTTGTGTGTCAAACGATGTACACAAAAAATATTTAAAGTATATTTTTCTTACTAAAAAAAATTGTGTGATCAAAAAAATGTTTTTAAGAAATTTTGACACACTTATTTTGAAACTGACTCAGTAAAATATTTTTGGACAGATAAAATAATTTTTCAACTGACTCAAGAAATAATAATTTTTATCCCTCAGAAATTAATTTGTTTGTGCAGAAGATATTGTCATCCTTACAAAGATTCCTAGACTTAATAAAAAAAAGTCTTCGGAGTCTTCACTTCACTTCAAAAAAAATCTGCGTAGGGGTGATCGTCGATTTGTTTATCGCCGTAAACTTCTTGATACCCTTCTTTGCTTTTCTCGATACGAAAATAAATTTTCGATCAACTTGAAATTAATTATTCTGTTTGTCATTCATCAAAACAAAAAAATATTCCAGAAGAAATAGTAAAGGGGTTTGAACTCATGTCCAACAATTTCCCCCTTTTTGATAATGACAAACATAGTTGAGAAAGAGCAAAGTAAGAGTTCAGAAATTACTTCCTTTTCAGAAAACTTTCCGCTGCAAGGTTAGAGAAGTGCAGTAAAAAAAATAATCGGAGTAATAAGCCGAAAAACGATTTTTTAAAAACAGTTTCTCAACTATCCTTCCTTCCCCCTTTTGGCATTATCAACCGATAACTTTCCCCCTTAAACAATGCCGGGATATAAAAGGAAAGAAAAAAAAATGGCAAGAGTTTTCTTTAAAAGAGAACTCTTGGCAAAAATGCCACAAAGGGACAATATGTTCTAAACAAGAACAATATTGCCAACCCAACAATGGTATCAATACACAATTAAAATTAATATCAACTAGCATCATTGAAAGGAACATCATCATCCACCAAAAGAGTCATAAAACAATAACATTAGCAAATAACAATGTATCATAATAAGTCAAGATAGAAGGAATATAATCAAAGAGAGTTCGCCGGACGAGCTCCTCCGCTAAAGTTGTGACGCGGGCCACGATAGGAGCGGGATTGCTCAAAACGAGTCATCCTCTCGTTGAGCTGGCGAACGTCATCTCGGATGCACGTGAGAGTATCGAAGATCCTCTTCGCCCAAGAAGGTTCCGGTGCTTCTTCTCTTGGACGAGTCCTCCGTTGACGAGTGACGCGCTCCGTGGCTCGACTTCCTCCGGCTTGAGATGACTCAGCTTGATTCTCGTTTTGGCTCTCTTCTTCTTCTTCTGCGACTATCAGGTCTAGATTTGGTGCAGCATCGCCCTCCTCTCGATACACGATCCGGGAAAACTTGGCTTGCCATAGACCAATGTTCATCATTAATAGCATCCAAAACGGTTGTTGGTTCAATTTGTGAAACAAAGGCCATGTGATTAATTGTGTTCCTAAGAGAATTACGAGTAGAAACTCCCTGCGTTATGTCACCAATGACATTGTCAATCGGGTGGTTCTTCAATGTTCTCCATTCCTTAGGAAGCTCCGTTTGTTCTTGCGTTTTCTCTTTTTCCGGTTCCTTTTCCTTAACGATTTCTTCTTCATCATCATAAGAACCTGCAACATTATCAACAATACCTTTTCTCGCCAAGCGAGCATCAAATTCATCAAAGACAACATGAATAGACTCCTCTACGGTCTTAGTACGCTTGTTGAACACTCTATATGCCTTACTACGAAGAGAATAACCTAAGAAAATTCCTTCATCCGACTTAGCATCAAATTTTCCCAAGTTATCTTTTCCATTATTATGAATGAAAACTTTACATCCAAAGACATGAAAATAGGA